GCAGGCACAGCACATCATAATAGTGGTATAAAATGAGTGAAAATAGTGTGAAATTTATGTGATGAAATACACACAAATTCACATCACAGTCACAGTCAGAACTCGTAAAAATACTATAGTGTAAAATTTGTATGACAAAGTATGCATAAATTCACATCACAGTCAATAGTCCAAACTTTATGTATTGTCATCTTATGGTCTTAAGAGCCCTTTTCGGGACACCAGGTCATAGTTAGCAAAACCAAGACGTTTGACAATCCTTTAATAGATAAACTGGAAGCAAGTTTTAATACGTTTCACCCAGCATATTTATATCGCACTTTGATGATTTATTCACTAATCTAAGTGTGTTAAATATTAAATGATCTCAAAGAATTTTACCATAGAGTAAGCACACATAGTGAAATCTACCATAAAATAAGATAAATACATTTAGAACCATTATTACATTCATGTTACCGGGCATGAACTCACCAACTCATATTAAAATGAGGTTCATATTTTAACAGTAGGATAGGAAAACTGGTAACTACAATATTCAGTAATTGGTTCTGGTTATTTGTAACTATTGTTTCTATATTGGATGAATCACTGCAATATACTAGTTCAACCTGACTGACCCCTCTCTATGAATTGCCTGATGACCATGTTACCTCTGATGATCACTCTTGCATACTTGATATTTCTACCATAGAACTTTCACATTCTAATTCGTCATTAGGCCTCTATGGAAATACCCACCTCTATATTTACACCCTCAGGTATATAGCACAATATCAGCTTCCTTTGTTATTGAATCCTGTAATTTAGCATGGTCTCATTGCTTTTACATATATGAAATACAGAAATTATGTTCATACAATAATATAGATCTATAGTTTCCAGTTAATAATGTAAATGTTGTATCTCTATGTTTCAAATGTTATGCAATTAATAATTTAATCATCTGTTAGTTCAAAAATGTGATTCAAATCAATGTAAATAAACTAGTGACAAAATAAGGCTCATTTTTCAACTTACATTTATTTAACCATTTATTTCAATATATACACTTACAATACATAACAGTAAAATAAACAACAAAATAGCTTATTTTATAATTTATATGTTTTTGAAAATGAGTAAAGAACAACAGAGCTTGTAAGTTACAATACCAATGAGGGATGACAGTGCATTATGTTGTATTGGTTTTCCAGGTTATTGTTTAACAAGAAACTCCTTCTCATATCGATTGCTCAACAAATAAAATCTTTATCCACCACTATCATGGTCTTCGTTTTATCACTTTAACTAAATCGATATGTCTCGATGTAAATGGCATCCCCACTATGATTAATTCCTATAAACACAATGCACATCTATAAACTTACCCAAAACAATCCCAATAATTATAGCAACTTTCATTGCTCACTAAAATGCAATTGTTTGTAGCTACCCTTCACAATTACTTTCTCTTCTTTGCATAAAGTAGTTTTCATCTTTATTTTGTATTTTCATCAAAGAGTACATTCACTACAAGAGTCTTATGTATACAAACAATTTATATACAATATTCCAAGTAAAGGTTGTTCCAGCCTGGAAGTATACAACATGGTCAGGGCCTTTAGAGTTTGCATTTTCATCTATTTTTTTATTACAGTCTGAGGCTCTGGCTGGATATCTCATCATGATTGTAGAAAGTCAATGCTCCCTACTTCTACTTTGACCACCAAATAGACCCCCGACATGACATAATAATGCAATGACATAATAATTTGTTATTATCGTTGCTAAGTTAAACTACCAACTACGATTAGCAAGATGTGGGATTGTGTGTTGTGCCATGCTAATTTACCAAACACATATTAATCAGCACAAAGTACAATAACACATAATAGTTCAATGGATCTATGCTGATATTGGTGATAGGGGTTGAGCTCATCACAACCCAAACTTCCGATTAAAGAGGCATAGCATCCGACATTAATTTTAAGTCCTAAACTGAAGATTACAATTTGCTTATGTTCAGAGGCAAAGTGGATACCATCTAGCTTCTTAGGAATGAGCTGGTCACAACTAAAAAGAAAACCCAGTCTTTGCACCACGCATAAACTGTACACAATTCACCACTTGGGACAAGAAGCAAGCCTGCAATGATACTGTGGAGCAGGACTGAGTTTAAATAATGATTCCAAGTTCTCACGTAAGGTAAAATATAATTTCGGCACGAAATATTTGCCTGATTCCTCGGTAATACATGTTTCAAGACGCTAAAATAGTTGAGTAAAAAACATATTTTTTCAATTTTTCACAAATATTTAATCCAAACTAGAAAAAATCCAATATTTTACCAGAGGTCCCAACACTATGTGTTTCTTGCCATTTAAAGTGATTCCAGCAACACATTATATTTATAAATATTTCAAACCAACTGGTACAAATCTCACATGATACAGACATTAATATGGATTGAAAATATTTTTGGAGTTGGACATTTATATAGAAATGTATAAATAAGCACGATTTTTTAAAAAGTGGCTTAAAATCTCCCCATGTTATTCTCATAGGTAAAACACCAAAAACACCTCTTTATCCTATTCTATCTATTTGCTTGAGATACAGTAAATAAACATATTTAGGCACACTACATTGATTTCAACTTTTGATATAAAACAATAATACAGGGTAAAAATTTAAAAATCTAAAACTTATATGAGTACCATTTGGTAAATAAATTAAATGGTTCCATTTGTATGACAATGTATTATAACATAATATCAGTGTTGGTAATGGTTACAAACTCCATGCATTACTGGTGTGACTTTATCGTTTTAAAATGCTTATTTCTCAAAAAACTGCTTGAGATACGACAAATGGTTAAATTTAGGTACACTATATTAGTTCCAACTTTTAAACAACAAAAAACAATAATACAACATAAAAATCAAATACTATTTTAACATTATTTTAAATGAGTACAAATAAATCAAACAGTTATCATGAAAATGTTATAAGTCTATACTTAATTCCATTATTTTAAAAGTCCATTATTAAATATTCTAAATTTGTGATTTAATCACCAGACATCCCTATAACTCAAAAGAATTATATTATTTTATATGAGTACAAATAAATCAAACCATTTTCATTTGTATGCCAATGCATTGTAATATAATAATAGCATTAGTAAATAAAGGTCTGATTTATTGTTTAAAAATACTTATATCTAAAAAAAGGCTTGATATACAACAAAACAGCTAAAAATTCCAGCAACCAAAATAGCCTTCAACATAATAATACAGCATAAAAAGTTAAACAATTTAAAACCATTTACCAGTTTCTTTTGTATGTAAATATGTTATAATAATATAATTTCAACAATAGCAATAGTTTCAAACTCTAGGTATTACCAGCACGGCACTGTCGGGGGCATGACGATGTTCAAAGTGATGCGCCTCCTATCACTTACATGTTTGTCTAGCTTCTAAAAAAAATATTTATAGCATAAAATTTATATATTAAAATTCTTCATAAACTACTGTTTAATACAATATAAATATAATTTAATTTATGCCACTGTATAATTATCAATTAAGGAAAATATAAAAAGGTTACTCAAAGCAAACATGAAAAAGTAAGTAAGCGAGGATTTTTTTTATTTTTCGGTCAGAGAAAAACTTTCAGTGGAAGAAGTATAGATGATTAGATGTTCCTCAATTTTTGTTTCTAACATTTTTTCATAAGACTTTTAGTTTGTCATCGCTGGGGATCAGAAGTAACCTATGGGTCGGGAGCGCGTCCGAGTTCACGTGCCGAGAGCTGGGTTTTAAAAAAAGTGGTCAAAAAAAGCTCTTCATTTCCAGGCTTGTTTTTTCAGTATTAATAACATTTTTTAACCAAAAAATGCCCCCATATAGCCTCTAAAACGCCAAAAATAGGGTAAAACCATCATATTTTACCTATTTTGGGTGTTTTTTCGCCAAAAAATTTCAAAAGTCCTGGGTCCAAAAACGCCGAAAGTGGGGTCATATTGTCCTATTTTATCTACTGTCATCGAATCTGGAAAGGATTTTCAATTAATTGTAATTACAATCACCCAAAGACACAACTGAGAATAATTGCTCTGAACTCATTACTGTTTCCAATTTATGGTCGATCGACCGACCTTTGACCGTGGCCATTCACATACAGTGGCCACCAACGACCACAAACAACTACACTAGTAGATAATTTCCATCAAACCACCTATCCTTATCCTATATACGGCCTAAGTGTGATTCTCACTATACAGAAACGAAATTTATTTCAACGAGATCCAGGGACTGCTCAGAAACCCATTTTTGGATCAGCATCTTCAGGAGTTAAGCTTTTTGGAGCAGTACCTGCAATGCATAATCTTTCGAAAAAGTATTTGATTTCAACGACCACTCAACACTACCTTGAACTTTTTTTTAACACATCTAACCACATCATCCTCTAATACAAGGCCGCGGAAAGATAAAAGTGGCAACGCCGCATTCCCGGCCTGCTGAAACATCTGTTGCTAATTATGGAGTGTCTGCAAATGTTTACAAGTTTGTTGTGCTGTTGTCACCATGGCAGTAGGCCGGTGCGACGTTGCCACACACCAACGCTTATAGGCTATGCCGTACCTCAACCGTCATAGAGTACGAAAAACTTCAACGACCCTTCAACTACCAAGTAACCATCCTAATCTCACATCTCTACGTATATGGAGCGGCATGAAGCTTCGAAACACCATCCATACCTCAACGACCTCCCAACTATCCATGTAAAGACCTTTCAACTACCAACCCAGCATTCCCAACTATTACCATCAAACAGTCTATCTTTACTTCACCTATATGGCGGTTCCCACACATTCCTGGTCGGGACTGCCTGGTCTCCCTGGTCTGTGATTAGAGATTCACCACCGGCACGCGTGCTCAGGTGGGGGCGGTGGGGGTGGAATTGGGGGGGAGAGTGATAACAGTTTTGGAGACGTCAGTTGGTGCCGCGCGCTCGAGTTGTTCGGTCGTACCTGTGGATATAACTCGACCTAGAGCATTACGAACTTCGTAAGTAAAATGTTGCTGTTGGTTTTTGATATTTGTTTTTCATGGGTGCAGGATATACAAAAATCAGCTGGAAATATGACCATCGAGCACGATCTGACTCGGATATTTTTTTCATATCGTCGATATTGATATGAACCCCGATTCTCGAATGGTGCAAAATTCAAAGTCTGCAGTCGGTGATGAATCACAAAAAAAATTGAAAATCCTTTCGAGTAAATATATTATACGTATGCGTATTATAGAAAAAAACTATTACGTTTTGCAATTTCTCTAATAATTTGGTCTGTACGTTGTTTCACTTTCTTGATCTTTGATATTCATAAACCTGGTGAATTTACCAATTTAAATTCATTTTGTTTTCTTAATTTTCGTACATTACTTATTGTGAAGTATATAAAAGTATTGCCATCCGCTAATTGACTAAGGTTTGTTGTTGTTTGGTTTAAAATACTTACATTTAAAAATAGCATCCATCAAAATCAATTTCAACACAAATTATAATTCTATGTAAGAATTTAAAATTAAATTGTTTCCAAAAATTTTTTGTTCGTTAAAAAGATGCTAAAACTTACTGTTTTATCTTATGAACGCCTTTAGAACCAATCGTTGAAGTCTCCAAGTCAGAATGCTAAAACCGACTGTTTAGCTTACCAACATTATTTTAAATGCAATTCTCACTTTATATTACTAATTTCGTCAGTTAACAGACACCGTTTTCTGACTTTTCGGATGGGAACAAAAAAATGATCAGAATGCCAAATAATGCTGTGCAAAATACAGTTTTTGCATTGTCAATGTTAATAATTTGTTTGATTAATTCCGGAACGTAGCTTTTAAATTAAAATTAAACGTCTATATAAGTCACATTTAATAATAAATTTAAATAAGTTTTGAAATGACCATTAAATTTTACTAATAAGACTACTAAGGTGATTACGAAAACCATGGTAGTAGGCATATCTACTATATTTGTTTGATTCATATTTTATAGATTCAGTTAAACTACCCATTCAATTTTGACTTATAATAAGTGTATGCATATTTCATTATTACTGTTTTATGAACTTTAAGTTAATATTACTACAGTTTATCACCCTCCAAGTTGGGGTTTCTTAACGAAGTTAGTATAGTAGCCAATTTAAGTTTTTGTTTACATATTTAGTTCAATACATCTAAATTTTTGTGTCAGTTTCACCAACCGTTTTTTATGTTCTGTGCTGTGCATCGTCTTGGAAAGAAATACAGAATGCTACATTTTACCACCATTGGTCATAAAGAACTACTGACCTTTCTAACCAGGGCAATCAGGAATGTGCATGCATATTGATACAGATTTAATTGACTTTTTCATCGGCCGTAATAGAAATACGTGCTGGACTCAAATACGGCAATATGACGTTTTTAGGCCACCTAGATCACGTCTAAAAGGAATGGCGATGGTGCAAAACCTCCTGGAGAAAAAGTCGAACACGCGCCTTCTGCGAACATCGACTATTAAGATGGCACTGGGGAATGCGACAGTAGTGTTCTCTATCGGTTATCGAAGGTCTCATTAGCGATAATCGAAGTAATTGGCGATTATCGACTATCGATTCTGCGAAGATTTGATGATTCCTGGACGTTTACACCACGGAACATCTATGTGATGTGTTCGTGGAAAAGCAATAGTCTTCGGTAAAAAACCGGAAGCGGACGATGAAAATTCTTGGTGAAGTCACCTAGAGGAAACCGTTTTACCGATAGAATGTGTGGATTTTGTTGACTTAAAATTTTACCGATGATTTTATTTTAAAATGCTAATAATGTATGGACAATTTAATGAAATTCGAAACGTATACAAATAGTATTTACAACAATAACAATAATTAGGCCTATTAATAACTAAACAAATTATAGAACAAATCTTTTAGTTAGGAGGTTTTAATTCATTTTTACCACGCATTGTGGATTTCATATTTACACAAAGAAACAAACCTACTGTGGTAGAAAAGCTATCTGTTTCAAAACTACATTAAAATTGAATATTAAATTAATCTGTTAGTTTTCTAACCAAGTTGTTGTGAGAAAACATACAATACAAATCCCGGTATTATAAGACCTTAAAAACGATTGGTTTTCAACATTTAATTCAAAGTAATTCTTTGATTACAACTACATAAACCATATTCTATTTAAGATTTTTGGAAAACAGTCCAACAATAAAGCAACAAATTTGGAACCTATCAATTTGCGAGGAGATAACGATAACTTCACCTGGCAATTAGTGAACCCCCAAAACATCCTGTTGATAATTATTCTTGAATTACGGCTATCCATCACTAGTTCTCATCTTTCCTCTGGAATTATACCCAATGGAGATAAGAAATTTCAATTAAAATAAGACCGGGACTAATTAAAGTCAAGCAATAAAACCAAGAATAATGGAAACTATGAGAACTGGAGATCCCAAATGATTGACGCGCTCGGCTCCAAAATTTAATCCACTAGACCATTAACAGTTATCAAAATAACTGACGATAGTGTTCACGGTTTAAATTTCTCACTAGTAATCCGATATGAATTGTCACTTCCAAATCACTAAACTTGTAGCATAGATAAACAAAGTGTCACCAAAATTCGAGAAATATTGTTAAACATTCCCAATACTGATTTTAAGTACAGTACTGCTTTTTAAATTTATCATGATGTCGTGAAATATACAGTAAATATTTAGTTAGGTATCTTAAATTAAACATTTCACCTAAAGATGTCTTTGTCATGATCAGTATCAATGGGCTTATTTTAAAACTATCAGAGCTTTTGTCCTTCGTACGGGGTTGATGTATATGTTGTACTGTGTTTGTTGACGTCATTAATTTCTATTAATATATCTATCTTACTAATATATATATATAAACTGTTTTTCTTTGTCTCCACTAATTTGAGAGAACGCTGGGCGTAGAAACTTGGTAGAGGTGTCCAAGGAAATGTCTTGGTCTGTAGATGAGTTATCAAAAGAGAAAAGAGTTAAATTCCCTTGGGGCTCTGCCCCAGTGGCCTTTAAAGTTCCATTCGCATGTTATTCTTATGAAGGAAAGAAATGGGGCTTTTGTCACAGCTAATTTGAGAGAACGTCTGGGCGTAGAAACTAGGTAGGGGTGTCTAAAGAAAGGTCTTTGTCTTTAGATGAGCCATCAAAGTTTCCAATTACTACTGGTTGACTGGCAATCTAAATTTTGATTCTGATATTTGTAAATTAAATTTCTTGAACACATTAAAGGTAAAAATGCATCCAACATGTGTTTATCACTCATATTCAAATGGGAAGGAGTTCTGTACCACATTAGCATGATCGACGACTACAAAAGCGCATATTTAAGGAATTTTAACATTCCAAAACTCCCCGGTGAGTTTTGACAGTTGTGACCCTATAGAGGGCGTGCGTCCTAGGTGGTGGAGGGGAGTTGACAGTTATTTGGACAGCTATTGTACACTCCTCACAGCACACCCACCACAGACCATTTAAATACAAATAATCTCCAAAATCCAGCCACAAATCTCGCCATATTTACGAGATAAGCTCGAAATTAGGATTCAAATCCGTCCAAAAAAGGGCCCTCGACAAAATATTGTCTATAAAGTCCGTGAGTTATGGGACGGACACCAATAAGCCAAATTTGAAACACGTTTAAGCCACGGGGAGTGTGCCAGAGGTTTTTGTGATATACGGATGTCCCGTGCTGAAGTATTTTGAATTTCGAGTGTCGAACCACGTGCCATTGAGTGCGTTTTGATGTAAACAATGAAGCTAGGTTAAGATTCAGTGTTTATCTTTAAGTTGTTAAAATTGACAATTATTTTATATGACTTAATTGTCGATTTTTTTAAATAGTGAATGAGGTATTTTTGTTTTATTTTAACGTTCAATATCATTTAGAGGCTTACAAATATCAAGAAAATAATTTCTACTGCCAAATATATGATTGGTTAATGTTGCTAAATAAAACACACTCGTATAAATGTAAATATTAATTAAATACCAGATGTTTTATTATGGATAGGCTACTGTTTATAATCTCTTTCTACGTGTTTCTTTCATTAAATGTGGTTCTACCATTTTTTCAATCCATTTGTTGTTCTTACCTATAAAATACAGTCCACTTATTAATTACCTAACACATATATTTTTTGGTCCTTCGAGCCGGATCAAAATGCAATGTAACGCATGCTTTGCATTACATTGAATCGTTTACAAACATAACGTAAAACCCCACCATAACAATTTTTTCTGCTTACCCACAAACATTATCAAAGTAGGATGTTGAATATATGTCACAGTTAAAGTTTATAAGTTCACAAACTAATTCCACAATTTCAAATATTTTCTAACTCACGCCACTCTTACACCTATGTTTACCCATTTCCGCGGAAATTTCCCGGTCAATAAACACCATTAGCTGTCGTGAAATTTTATTCAAAATACATAAACATCGGCGCCGATTATCCTAAGAATTTCACCGTTGCGGTTTTCAAACTGATAATTATGCATTGTTTATCAACAATAGACCTGGTCGTCGCCAAGCCGAATTCGGCGAGATCGCTCGAAAATTGCAGACGTCGAACAATACAGATGATTCACGATGGCTGTAATCATTTTAATCGCTTGACACGGCGTCTGGGTGAAATATTATCACGTGAGACGCGAATATTCTTGCTTTGAAGAGGCAAGTGAAGAAAAGAACAAAATATTTGTGTATTAAGAGCGCAACGACTGTTTGTGGTTGGAATAGACACACGATTTTTCCTACCATCATAGTTAACACATACAGATAAACTTTTTAGATGTATATAAAATGTCGGTTAGGTTATGTTTGCTTTTTTGAGGTTATGTTATTTGCTTACCGGTTGTTAACGTACCGGATCCGCGGCTATGGTGAAGAAACGCCAACTGAGAAGTCAGCTGATTGGGAGCGAGCGGGAATGACCTATTCCCGTTCTAGAGCGTAAATGAGATATTTTGC